GGTGCATAATGCATAAAGAAAAAATACTTTTGAAAAATCAAGGGTATACTTACGGATGTACGGTGTACACTTAATAATTACATAAACGATAAACCTATTACTATTATCGGAAATAATATTAATAGTTTTAGTTTTATGTTTGTGTAATTGTGTTCAGCACAACAATATGTAGWCGATAGATACTAGATACCTATCAAATTGTTACTACTCACAAAGTTATTTTTAAGTTGTTTTGCCCAAAATGTATATTTTTGTTGTTTTGTGCCCAACGATCATAGAAATCATATATTTGTTGATTGTTAATTCATTTTCATTAATTATTTTATACGATTGTGATTTTTTAAATTTAAATATGCTTTTATCTTGCAACATTGCGGCTATTAGTGATTATTACTAATAATAATATGGTAGGGCTGAGCTTGAAATTCCCTATTTGCGCCTATGCTAATGAGTAAAAATATTAATTGATTATGGTGTTTAACACGAGTGGGTTGTCGATWATAATTATTAGTTATATAATATAACTATATAATATATATAGTATCATTATGGCCTTATAATATTCAATGAACTATCAGATTAATGCTTCTGTTTTGATTTGTGTTTATTCGGGAAAATGATTACTTAAACCACAGAACAATAAATTATACTTAAACGTGAAACGATATATTGGRTTTGGGTTTTCGTATATCGTATCTATATCTGTGGTTATCGTCTATTTTTAACAAATCTATATGTGTTTTATTTCCCAGAAACCGGTTATCTACAACAATCGAAGAGGCACCAAATTACCAAATACCAATATTAGCATAGTACAGATATTTTTATTGACTTTGATTAAACAGATAAACAGAATTATATTTATAATTCATAATTTTAAAATTTTGAATAATATTTAGGAGGACGTCGTGCCCGCGCATGAATGACTCGTATAATACTTGCCAGTTGCCTTACAAAATATTATGACATTCCACATCCACATACAACATAGCAGTGGCGGTGTTGTACGATTGAGAACAGGTAAAACCTTTTTAGCAACACGATTGAGAACGATTTTTCGATCGAAGTTGTCATTTATCTTAACTTTAAGTGATAATTTTTAGGGCTGGAATTTTGATCCAAGAGTATATTTTTTTTGATRTTTTGAAATGTTGCTGATTGAAATTGATTGCATTTCTTGATCAAATTCACTTTAAATTTTATTATAAAATGAACGAAAAATGTTGCGATCAATAAAAGACTATCGGCATGTTTGCTTTTGATTTTTTTTTTAATTTTTAATCTTAAACTGACAAATAAAAATACAAATATGTTGTAGATAATTAATATTAATTTTTAAATTTTGATCTTAAAAAAATGCCTAACCGTTCCCAATCGTGTTCTACCCAGCAGTGGTTAATCGGGTTTTTCCCGGTAGGCCCCATCCTGTGTATGTGTCATATCCCTTGTTATATCAGTCAGAAGAAAAAGCCACGGAAAAAAAAGTCAAATTACAATAATTAAAATTAAAGCATTAAATTGGGTATTATTTAAAAATTGTTTACACATTGGTCAAATATATAAAAAATAACTATAATTGAATATATAAAAAAATAAAATCTAAAGTATTATTCAACATTTTTAAACATTGGTCATATTGTATACATATATATAAAATAATTAATACACAGGTTATATGTTAATTAATTTAAAAATTTAAATCCAGTTGATCATACTGTATTTTCCGTATTCATATTATATAAAAATAAAATTGTTAATATTATAATATACATTGAATACAAATAACATATTTTGTAGATATTATCTTCAAATCAATTGATTTAAGTCTTTCACCCGTGATATGTWTAATTATAATGTATATTATAGTATATACTTTGTACAGGGTGATTCTTTTTAAAAATGTACATGTTGCAATATGAACTATACAGCTATCTTGAAATAAATTAATTTATGTATATTTTTAATTTAAATTTTTTGTTTAATAAAATCAATACATTCATTGCTGTTAAGATACTAAAATATATTTATTACTATGAATAATAAATAATAACATATAACCTAGCTGTGTATTAATAATTATATATATATAATGTATATACAATATAATCAATATGTAAAATTTTTTTCAATACCTAATTTAATACTTTAATTTTAATTGTTATATATTTAATTATTGTAATTTGATTTTTTTCCCATGGCTTTTTTTTCCTACATTCCTTTTGTCGACTTTTCGGTTTCTAAATAAATTATTGAAGTCAATGCCATTATCATAAATAATGTATTAAAATTTAAAGTAAATACTAAATATGTATATAGTTTTAAAACATGTAGAATAAGGTATTGATGATTAAAATGCCATTAAAAAGTTATCGATTCTCTGTACGGTGTTTTTGTATTTTATTGTCATGTTATTCAAAAATTAACTAATCAAAATATTCTATAAACACATGATTAAAATTGCAAACAATGAAACGATTACGATATTTCAAAACAATTATTCAGTACTGTTTATTTAATAAATAAATAATAATTACTAAATCGATATTCTGTRATGTGGAAATGTTCAATGTTGTCAATTTTGTGTTTTGTTCAATTAATGGGTTTAATTAAAAAGATAAATAATAGGCATACAATTAATATARGTATCAAGGTACCTATAACAAATTCATGTCGGGTTCAAATTTGATCAATATTCGTTATTATTTTGCTGACTTGCTGTAATGAACTAAAACTACAAATTCATAACTTTTACTGTTTTACTCTCTCTGTAAACACTTTTTCCCTCTAAACTTACTCAAAAGTCTCAAGTGTAGGATCTTTTCTGAAAGATTATGTTCTTGAGTTCGTATTTTAGAGAGGTCATTTTTCGATTTTCGAAACTATACTCGAAATAAAAGAGRTTTAAGGAGAAACGTTTTCTACCAGAAATATTGCTTCAAATGAAAARAGATCTTTATTGTTGTATTTTGTTCTTTAGRKTTTAAAGTTTGAAAAATGTTAGACATTTTAATTTAGGGAGTTTTTTTGTTGTAATTCGGTTAAAAACATTTGTAAAAGCTTGAAATTAGGGTTGTTTACTTATATTAGCCTTACCTAGACATGGTACAATTTTCAAAATATTTGAGCTTTTTCTTTTTCTTTTTTTCATTTTTATGACATTTTCCAATTATAAATTATAATTATATAAATCGTTCTTAAGCTGTTCTTATAACGCTTTATCACCATAGAAACGAATAAAATTAAATAAAAAAGATTTTCTCGTCCACTCAGAATCGTTGTTTTATCAAATGCAATCATAGTATTCAAATCGAATACAGTAAAATTACAATATCCTGTCCGAGGACCGAAGTGATGATGGACAAACATCCACCACCAAAATGCTGACCTGCTTTTTAATGACTTTTAAGTGAAATTTAAACTCAAAATGATATATGTCATTGTGGCAGACTTGAAAACAAGTGATATTTCAAGTTTCCGATTCAACAAATTTAAATATAACCGTTTACTACATTTTAAACAATTTTCAGAGTAAAGCTTAATAATTTTCTATTTTCAAAGAACTTTCGAATATTAATTTTAAATCAATGACCTAATCCTTCATTTAATTAAAATAATCGATAACGAGTTTCATTAAGTGAAAATTATCAATTCTTATATTGCAATTAAAAAGCTGATAATAAGTTATAATTTATTTGAACTCTTTAAATAAAATCATATTACAAAATGAAACAAAAGCTGTTTTAATGACATAATTTTAATACAGTTTAGGAAAAAAAACAATTAAAAATAATATAGGTACAATTCAGTTGTTTAAAATAAATTCCAATCTTAAATACTTACAACATTAAAATTTACTTTAAATTAGCATTAGAATCAACCACATGAAATAACAACTTGATTGAGGTTTAACTAGTCTAATATGTTGTACCTATTAATATGCTTAGTGTAGTTCATTGATAAATAACAAATGGGACTAACTATTTTAACAGCGTTCAACTCATAAGATACATTTAAATATAAAATAGTTACAATCACATTGTAATATAAGAAAACTAAGTAAAAAATGTTCTGTTTAATGTATAACAAGAGAACTTAAACTAATATTTAAAATTGAAAATACAATTAATTCTTTAGGCGACTGAAAATAATTTACATTCGGTCTCTTAATAAATTACAATAAAATTTACTTCACATGACTTTAATTTAAAAAAAGTCGAATTATTATAATATGAATTATGAAACTTTATTTTATAAAAAAAAAACATTGAAACTTCTGTCAAATAATTTAAAAAAATTGAAAACTTAAAAATAAAAATCTAATGCAGTCTAATTTTAGAGCGCAATGATCATTTTTTGTCTTATAATACAAGTACAAAATAAAATATACACAAATATATTAGGTATATAGCATAATKGTTTATGTACCTAATAAATAAATTAAATAACGCCAAGGTAATCGTGATTATTTAAAAAGTCAAATTGTTGTGTCCACTATACAAAAAATAAATATATTTTAGTCAAATGAACATTCAGAAACCAAGTAAATTTGTTACTAAACTATACAAAAACGAGAAATAAACAAAAATTTTCAATGAAATGAATAATTCAAAATAAATAAATTATTGAAATTTAAAAAAATTGACATTTAATCTAAACTTATAATAGAACAAAAAACAAAATGGTAATTAACAATTTTAAAGATCACTATATGCTGCCAAATTAGTAATTAACAAAATGTTTTAGTTTTACAAGAATAAATATTTTTTTATAATATAATATGAAATTATACTTAGGTATTAATATTTARTGCTAAATAAAATTTGACTAATTAGAAGAAAAAAACAGTTTAATTATACTTTAAAGCAGCAATAAATTTAATACTTTTAATTAAATTATGTATTTGTGTAGTTGGTTAACTGAATGTGCCAACTTACATATAAAATTTTATTATAATGTTTATTTTGGAGAAAAAAAGTCACATATTATATTGGATACCAAGGTACTCCCATAGAAAATCTTATCAAATGTCTTATTGAATTCTTTTCTTAAAATAAATATTTACTAATGACAAAAAGTTAACCTCGAAATAATAATCTAATCATTTTAAATACCAATAAAATCAACTAATTTCTGCTGACTGAAAAAAAAAAATATTATGTACTTTTAAGACATATTTTGTCTTTACTTTTAAATCAGTGAAATTTACATTATATACATCTAATAACTTGTTTTTTGTCAAGCCAAAAATTGTATAGAATTAATTTTAAATTATACCTTTTCATAATGAGCCATGTTTTTTAGAATAAATAATAATAATAATGGTATTAAATAGTCAATAAAAATTATACATTTATGATATGGTATGAAAATAAAATTATTGTTACTAACACAGGTAACCACGGCAATTATCAGATAGACATTTGCATTTAATTCTCCTATTTTCGTTGTTGACAGAAGTCATATAATTAAATGTTATCTCTTCACCTGATCTAATATCTCTAGATGCGAATAATGCCAGTGTCGGTAAATTAGTATCCAAACAATCAATCCATACAGCAAATATGGCCAGATTAGAATCACATGAATGATTTATAAAATGTGATATATTACCATATGTAGTAGCATCAATAGAATAAACACTATCATTTTTTTCAGTATTGTAGTCAAGATCGAACAAGTATGTTGACTTTGATCCATGTGTGACAGCCCGTTGATCAGCTTCTGATCTGGTGATTACTTCACCAGTATATTTGGTAATATAGGTACCCTGTTTTATATTTGACAATGTTTTGACTCCCCAACCGCGATTGTTGTCAGTACGGAATATTTGAAGTTTTAAATTTTTGCTAGGACCATGTTGAACCACGCGATTTACACATGTTGCGTCGCAAGTACATTTTTTATTGCACTCATAAATAGGAGTGCCTTGAGGAACTATAATGCGCTTGAATTTATTATACGCAAGTTGAAAATCACCAAAATGACATTCTGTTTTTTTACGTTTTTTTCCTCCACAGGTAACATCACAGTGGCACCTAAATTAAAAACATAACTCATTTAAATGTTAAAACAAAAAAATTTTATTTTCATTATACATACCAAACTGGAGGATCATTTGGAATGACAACTCCATTGCCTGCCACACATTCATCCACATAAAAAAATCGCTTTGGTGGGCCTTCAAAATCAACATTATTTAGCACACTAATATTAAATCCACAGACTGCAGCCATATCACTTTGCCATTTAGCTAATCTTTCCAATTGTTTTTGCCGTTTTTTATCAACTTCAATTATCATTAAATTATGTCTAATAAGTTTAGTTAATGACGTACTTCTACTACTTGGTGATACTGTTGATAAATAAGCAATAGTACCCTTAACAAACTTGTGATCAACAGAGGGTATGCCATCCTGAACTACATGGTGCAACAATTCAATGAGTTCTTGTTCAGCAAAAATATTAAGTGAATCATATAACTCTTTATAACGTGGAGTTTGATATATTTCAGTAGCAACTATCTTATTCGATCTGTAGTCATGTAACGCTTGAGCGCAGTTCGTTAAATTCCGATATGGTTCCCATGTGCATTGGTCCATAGGGTAATTTTTCCATTTGACGAGATACATTGTCTTGCTCCCGTACGTATCATCAAATAAAATTGATTCAATTTCATACTCATTATCAGCCACTCCTRAAAAAATTAAAATATTACAGCCAAATCAAAATAAAATATAGGTAGTACATGCTATTTGAACAGTTGACACCAGATGGTTATTTTGATATTGGACTTTTTGCACCCTATATTTTAAGAACACAGACAATTGATACCGAGCAATTACGATGAAAGAATATATTAAAAACAATTTAAATATCTTTTATATAGCTTATTACATAATATTTTTGCATATGTTAATGATGTGGATTGTGGATGATTAACATACTTTGATGTAGCATATGATAATGGGACATATTAGTTAACAGTGGCAGCGTTATAGGGTGCCTCACGACCGATTAGGTGGTGGTACCTCCTTGAATGGATATTAAAATACACATATGGTCAACTAATACTATTGATACTAATTATATAATAATTAGGATAATTTGTGCCTCACTGTTACTGAAAATACACTATGTATAGTGTGTACAATAACGTGGTATCGTGGTAACTGCACGAAACCAGAAACACTATAAAGTTGTATTGTTATTATTTATTAATATATTATAAAATATAAGTTATGAAGCGTCTGTGTGGTAATATTTGGGTGGTGGTGGTCGAGCATCTATACTTGCTTCATGAAATAAAATAGTTCACGCCTCCACTGCTAGTTATTTAAGAATACACAAGTTATGTGCTTCAAAAGGATTTGCCAAAAGCACTTCTATGTTTRCTCCATACATGTGGAATGTGTACAATGCAACACAATTAGGATAATATAGTAGACCTAATAATATACCAGAAGGTTGGAACAAAGTTACAACATTTAATTAGATTTAAATATCCACCTATTAGGTATATATATATATATATATACTGAAGCTTTGCAGATGATGAACTATATGACCCCAAGGAGATTTTAAAACTAAACACTGGTATTCAAATAAATATTAAGATTAAATCCAATTAAGAAAGACTTAGTACATATATATTATGTAAAACTTATTAATACAAAACAAATACTGAAATTATTAGTTTTTTAAAAAACATATCATATGGAATCAAACATTAAATATAATATCTTTTATTTTTATTACCTATTATTTATATTTATAAGATATTTTATCTAAATTTTATAAGAATAAACTTTGAATTAATTTATTAAATTAAAAGATTATAATATGCTGATTATTCAGTGTCTTATTGTCCTATCAACGGGTATCAATTGTACTATTATTGGGTGTAAAATGTCCTAGCCTAGATTCGTAGTGCATCATGTTTTTTTAAAACCTAACCTACCTATCTAACTAACTATTTTTGTCAATAGCTCAACGATTTAAAGAAAAAAATTTTCATTTTTTTAATTGTTACTTATTAAATAAGTAAGTAGGTAGGTATGCAATTAAGGATATTAAACCTTGTCATTTACAATAGAGGGTTAAAATTAGCGACATCTGGAATCTGATTAATTGTTTTAATAAAACGAGTAACAGACATTTAAAAAAGGTACTAGAGGTGTTTTACGAACAGTAATTTATCTTCATGGAGGTTGGTCGTAGGGCCGGTAATAGAACTCTGAAAACATAGAAGCCGAGAACTCTGAAAGAAGAACGACCAAACCAAATTTMGAGTTTTAACCTAAACCTACGGTCATTTGAAATGGTTTTATTAAAAAGCCAAACAACGCTCGCGCGCAAACACCTTATCACAACGCCAACGGATGCTGCCGGTAGAATGGCGGAACGGAAAAGCCCGTATACTTTGAGTGTGAAAATAATAATTAAGGAACGTAGATAACGGTACAGTCGTCGTCATCGCCGCGGCGGGTCCACCGAGACGACACCACGAAACATGCGACAACACCGATTTTGAATCAGACATACCTTTATGCATTGTAGTGGCCGGGAGTATGAAATCAAAATGAACTAGAACTACAGATGATCTGCCAGAAACGATGGCGGTAAGCCGGTAAACGTATAAGGTAAATGTTTGGCAGCAGGCGGACGGAACTGCAATAGAAACACTCAATCGCTGTAGGTTTACCGGGACACGACACAAACACCGAATCGGTTAGCGCGGGAACCGCCGAACGAATGACTGTTGTCGAACGCGCGGGCGCGGTGCGGGACAAGCGGCCGAAATGGTTTGTGTTGACTGTTGAGGAATGAGGGGGGAGGGGTGAAAGCAGCGACCAAAGACGCGATTGCGAATAGTAACGGCTAAACGACGATAACAAAAACGCGGTACAAATTGTGGCGTCAGKGCAATACTCTGCAACAGCTGCTGCTCTTCGGCGATTACGGTGAGGACCACGAGTCCACGACTGGCTCTGACAGCGACACTGTCTACGACGGCGTATCGACAACACGAAGATAACAACGAAAATAAACAGCCGCCGTTCAGCACAGTACGACTATGGTCTATGGTGGTATGGTACTATGGTACGCTGTACGTACTGCACTGTGCAGTCCAACGGTCAATTTTTGAACGCGCCATTGCGAGTGCGACGACGCGATGTAGGCGTCATGGCGGACGGCCGGTCACAGTGTCGCCAACACCAGATTCGCGCGCAAACGGTGGCCGTGTAATATAAAGAGCCGAAAACGGTTATACGCTTTGGCGGGAAACTGAGATCTTTCAATCTTTGTCATAAACAATAACAACTTACAACGTCATCTATGAAAAAAAAATCCCCAAACGGCCAAACCTATACACAACTATTAGATACAACTCTTAAAAATAATATTTATTAATAAACAATAATATATRGTATACAATTTAAATGATAATTATTGTAAAATCGYTTGTGTATCAAAATAATAATATATAATATTACATATGTTATATGTAAATGTAATAATTATTCAATTGGTTATAAAAAAGTTAATAACCTAGTTCTCTAGTGTAAGTTACAGTCATAGACCTTATACTATATAAGGTCTATGGTTACAGTAAACAATAGCTGTCAAAAATTCCCCAATAGTCCAATGATTAAATATTATTTTCATTTTGTAAACTTTTAACTAATTCTTTTAGACAACTGTTTACAATTTGATTGTGATGACCTCTTTGTATTATCCTCGGTTTCGCCTAAATTGGCTTGATCGTCGTAAATTTCGTTTTTAATTTTTCTTTTTAAGTTTCCATATGGTGGGATGTTTTAGAACAACTGGTTTTGTACGGCAGCAATAACTAATTTGTTAGTTGGTATTACATTGTAATTTGTTAACTAAATTTGTATTTTTGTTTGCTTATGAAATGATTATAACATTTTTTGGGACCTTATTACTGTTAAAATGCATTTTTTATTTACGCAGTATAATATAGATACTACTAAACCTATTTCCTTATTTTCCTCTATTACCAATTAGATATATTAGGATGGGGGCTGAAGTGCAATACATTTTYAATGTAGAATTTCATGATTTTATCTATAGTCTAAACACCTTTTTACTGATTTATGACAATGGCATGCATTAAAAAAAAATCATACCTAAATGTATCTTCAATATGTTAAAATTTCTGTAAAAACAACTTATAAGGAACAAGTAGAGAACCTTGTAACGAGAAATTTTCAACATTTATAAAAATGAACTAAAAAATAAATTTCAATGCATGCGAGTACAAAAGTACAGCTCAAAAAGCGGAAAAATATTTTACAAATTTTACTATGAACTTATAAAAAATACTAGTATAATCATTTATTTTATTAAAAATGTTGAGTACCTAGGTATCTACAGTTATTCATTTTTAAATTACAACAAAATCAAAAATCTATTTAGGAGAAATAACTTAAAATGCTTATAAAGTTATAAAAAATTAATGTGATTTTCCTGGTAACATTTTGTTATAGGCAGAAAAACATTTAATGAGAAATCTTGTATTCAATTCTTAAATCTTGGATATAAAAATAAWTTTTTTTATAAATTTCTAACTAAAAATAATAAGCAAAATTTAGTGACTAGAAAATAAATTTTTTTTAAATTTCAGTTTTCCTTAATTTTTTTAATAGGAGTATAGGACGCCACATGCTCGTATGTTGTCTCTGTCTTACAAGTGTGTAACAACTGTAACATAGTAAAGTTTACGCTCAATAGTTCATGTTTAACTCCGTTAGCTTAAAATTTATAGTGAATTGACCATTTATAAAAATTAATGGTAACATTATTATCACATGGAGCATGGAATTTTTATTATATTTTAGTTTTAAAGTTGAGTTATGAATATTGTAAGATAAACAAGCATTTAACAATTTTAAAAATACTTATAACTCATTTTAAAATTAAAATATAATAAAAAACACATGACTGTTCAGTGWCAATATATTTTAAAATTTATTCACTATTTAATGTCAATTGATCTATATTATGTGAAAATCYTATATGCCATAAGTTTTTACATACATTTGTGACATACCATATTAGAATTTATGTTATTTATGAAATATATTAAAATAAACACATATTAGGTTGATATGTGTGGAAAGGTATACAATATTTTAGCTATATTACTAATAACTAATAAAACTTTTGATATATTTCCAAATAATAACTTAAGTAAATAAGTAATTACAACTTAAGTATAGTGATTGCCAAGTAACACAATCATATAAAGGTAGTATTGTAGTTAATTTTTAATGTTTAAGTATTATTGAAAAACATAAATGTTTAATCCTTTAAACTTATKATCAAAATATCATATTATTGTAATATAATAAATATTATATGACACACTAAGAAAAACTTTTATGGAGTTCCAAAATAAATGTCACAATTATTTAGGAATAATCACAGTTTTTTTTTTTTTTTTAAAGCTGTAAACTGTGTAAGCACACCATCAATTAATAAATATTATTTCAAAAAATAATTTAAATTAATAAAATAAGTTCTTATTCTACAGCATAACAATTAGATATGTAAAAACAAAAATAAATAAATAAATAAAATATATAAAATGGTTATACATAATTTTAATATAACAGAATTATTTTCAAACAATTTTTTAAAAGCAACAAATAAACTTGTAAGATATAAGAATCATTCTTTTGAGAAAAAATTAAACATAATTACTTATAACCAATAACTCTGACATATTCTACTTTTTTATGTGTTAATACTAACAAATTATATCAAGTTATTATTTAAGAAAAAAAATTTTATTTTTTTTGTGAAGTATTTTTTAGTTTTCTGTGATATTTTTGATTATAAGAATTATTAGTTGTCACATTCAATCATCAACAAAAATGAGAAAAATAACTACTGTGATATGTAGAAAATACTGTGAAAGGGATTGTTGTATTATTAATGATAGATATTTGATTGGTGAGCTCATGGTGAATATTATCTAAATAATTAAGATTGCTTTGAAGAAATAAATTAGCATTATGGGGATAATGTCAGAGTCTTGAAATGTTGATGTATTTAAATTAAGAAGGTAATATGACAGCCATTGCATTAAAGTAAATTTGATTCAGCAAGAAAAATAATATAATTAATTTCATTCATAACGATTGCACGTGTATGTTCATCAAATTCCCTTAATTTCATTGCAAGTTGTTCGCCAAATAAATCGTAATCATCTTTCACATGTTCAGATGAAATAGTTTCCATGACTTCATATGTATCTTTCATTTGATTTTTAATGGTACCCATACTTATCAATTTGTGTAAACCGTTTTTTCTGACTCCAAGAGATTTGAAAATAAATTCTGAAATCAAATTCAACACATTATTATAACAAAAAGTAGGATTTACACATATATGTTCTCATCCCAAGATTTTAACTGGTAAGAGGTAAAAGAGACTAAGCAATGTTAAGAGGGGCTGAACCAAATTGAGAATACAAAATAAGATATGCTTTGTATTTTTAATTTAAAATATTGTCTAAATATAATTCTAATTGATTTTATAAAACTATATATAATATAGAAATATTAGAAATAATAAAATTATCAAACACAGATATTTTAATAAATACTACCAATATAATAATTGATTGTTAGCATTATTTAAATAACGTAAAGAGAATATTGATAAAATATAACAACCTTCTAAAGCTTTTATAAAACTAAAGCCTCAACTCCAAAGTTTAGAACATAATGCAAAAAATTTGATTTTGTTTGCCTAAAAAGTGGTACAAATGTCACTTAGTMACTTATGCTAGTCAATATTATATTAAAAAAACATTTGAATTATACTACACAGAACTAAATTACAACCAAAAATTAACAACTTAAATATAATGAAGTGTATTTTTTAAATATAATTTTATTATTATTATTATTAACATAAAGGCTTCAATTACAAAGATTATTAGCCTAAAATTACAAAATGTTAAATATAATTGTTTAACAGTATTTATAATTATTAAATACTGTTGTAAAGAAGTGATTCTTAACCTGTGATCCGCAGCCCTGCAACACTCAAGTCCGAGTTCCGCAACACTATATTGTCTTCTGATTGTATACACACACACACACACACACACACACACACACACACACATACATACAATACACATATGTGTTTCAGTGTTTGTATAGTCTTATTGTCTTTTATAAATATTATAAATATACATAGACACATAAAATATGCATAATCAAATAAGGTTCTGATACCAATTATTCCCACTACATACCTAAAAAGCTTTTCTGTTCTAGTGTAAATTAARAATAAGTACACCAGTTTCAAGTATTGAGCTTGAAATATTACAACTTGAATAAATTTGTTTAATTAAATAATATCTTTTTTTTTGTAAACTCATAGTCCGCGGATTCAATTATTTTTACACGAGTACAACAAAGATTAAAAACAACCGCTTCTATATTATTATATTTATGAAAAACAATTTAAATACTTCTGTTGGTATCAAATATACCACAGAAGAAATAATAGCAAATATAGTACATACCTGTTATTGAATATTATGTGCAGGCTTAAAAACTCAAAAATCAAAAGTTGAAGTATGTAATGCTAAATAATTTTTAAAGAACGAATGCTTAATGGACCAATCGTAGTCTAATCGTGCGTGTGTATCATAGGTAATAATATAGATATAATTCTATATTATCTATGATGAGGATATTKAGAATAGCTAGACTTATGAAATAGACAAATACAAGTACCTACTACCTACTAGTAAGTTCTCCCGGAGGGTGATAAGAAATGTGATTATTAGATTATTATCATATCAATATATAATCATGACATCGTGATAAGCATAAAGCATGTCATAAAGAGTGATAAAATTGATGGAATTATAATATTATTATCACAGAATAGATGAAATAGATGTTATTMTAATGTCAGCCTCAGCACCTGCATTGCCGTCATTGCGCGGGAACTTACTRTTTAATCGTCATCACTTTTGAATATTCATAATTCATATTTGAATGTTGAATATTTCAATTTAGGACTTTAAATTTCTCTTCAATATTGATAAAATATTAAAACAAGTTGGGGGAAGTCGTTTAAACAAACATTGTTATGTGTTTATTAAATAGGTATACTATGAATTAATTATGGATATAAAAATGAGTAGACAATGTATGTATATTACTATATTGTGTGGTATTATTAATGAAATGATGAATAAWGGGAAAATAACAGATGAAAACATTTGAAAAAATTAAATGAATATAAAATTCACATTTGCATTTCATTGATTAATTTTTGTAATACGTATTAACTTATAACTTTAAATAATTTAGAATATTTTGTTTTGATAAAAATGATGGAAATGTATCTTTGATCAATTTTTTTTCAATACTGTGCGATACTGTACTGCTCCGTACGATATAACGATAGCGTTGTGCCGTTGTCTACCGGCGTTATACTGGACTTATAGTTTTGCACTTGGTGAACCGTCAAACTTTAACTTGCTCTCGTTTACTGACGTATAACTGCACAATTTTTTTGTGTATTTATTTTTCTAATTTTTTTATATAGCATTTCATTATTTTTAAAAAGCTAAAAACGATTTATTTTTTTCTTGTGACAGGGTGRCAAGGTGATCATACGATTTTGATTCATTTCCTGAACTACTGAAGATATATTATCCTAAAAACCGACAATGTTATAATAATAATAATAACAATCATAAGTTCATTGAAAAAACAAAAATTGAAATATTAAAATCCTTATTCAAAACTATTAAACCCTGACTGTCCAAGTGGCCATAAGCCCCACAGTTTTGTCAGGCACATACATAATGAGAAGTGATCGTTTAAAGGATATAATTACGTTGTTCTTTATTTATATCGTTTTGAGTAGTTTTAACATAATGTGATCAATCACCTACACGTACAGATGTGTATTTGTATTGCCATGTACTAGGTGCATTGATCAAAATAAAAAATAAACTATTCACCAGATCGGTCGGTGATAAGTTTTCTAGATTTGACTTACACTTACTCGTACACTATTATATAATCGTTGACCCTTGAATTTAAGTACTTAGGTACTTGAAACGTTGAAAATCTCGAGTAGTTGCTAGAGTATATATTGCTGGACTTGACTTGGACATTTGTTAGTGGTTACAATAATTACGTACTCGGAATGACAATCGACTCGAAGTTCATTGGCCAAAAATAATAAAAACATCATCATTCAGAGAATTAAAAAAAGAGATTGTAGATAATCTATTATAAATTCTAATACCTATTTTGTCTAAATTTTTTACTAATTTCACTATATTATCTCCGTACAATAAATCTTTAAATACTTGTAGTCCCACGTCATGTTTAGAAATTTTAGCATGAAGTTTAACTTATGAACTTTTCCGTGGTAGTGTGGTGACAGCATGTATTCGCAGGTTTACCTTTTTCTTTTTAAAAGACGAAGTATTAGGATATTGATATATTTCTGTAATACAGTATTGTATGAAATATATTCAGGCATCAGGCTCATCGGTTTATTCTATCATTATTGTTTGTTTCTTTGAATTATTGTCGTGATACTTTTCTCACATTTTTTAAATTTATATTTATATTTTTTTGATATAATCGTTCTTTTATACTTATTAATTTAGAATAAACACTATAATGTCATGATAGATATTGAATATAATATAGGAATACCTAATACCTATTGGTTCTTATATATTAATATTTATTTATAAAAATAACAAGACTAAAACAATAACCTATAACGACAAAAGGGTGTAGGTACACACACGTCCACAGTACCTTTACCTGTAGGTACCTAACTTGTAAAACAACTTGCAAATAACTGAAATAAAATTAGTCTCTTATATTTTTTAATTACAGGTGGGCTACCTGTTGACGGGTACCTACGTTTGTTGATTTCTGGCTACTCTGTCCGCGAATCGTGAAAATAGTGAAGTTTTCTCAACGCAATTTCAGCCAGTGGGTACCGCCATGTCAAAAGTCCTTGAAAATATCGCCGAACATGTCCATGCTGGCGTCGTAAAACAGTCTGCCGTGTTTCGCTTCAAAGTTGCTGGTGTCGACGGTGTCGCTGATTACCGGCACGTAAGGTGGCGTCACACTCCTGTCGAACGCCGCACACCAGTCCATGTCACCGAACCACCTGTGCTTCTTGATGTCCCGGATGCCGTTCGCCAGGTTACCGTACCGCCTAGTCACGTCCACCTTGAGGATGTTCCGCAACAGGTTGATCACGTCTCCCGAGAAGCCCGACGGGCAACTGTACGTGCCGGTCACAATGTTACTAAACAGTTTCCCAGTGTTACGATCTATGAACGGCGAACGGCTAGCCAACATCTCGTACAGCAGAACCCCGAGCGACCAATAGTCGACCGCTTTTCCGTATCCTGCAGCGGAACGGCGACGACGACCACAAAATAATACGCGTTACTGCATATACGGTTTATATCATATATATATATATATATATATATTACTATATTATTAGAGTAATATTTTAGGTACAACGAATCTAAAATCAAAATTTTGCATAAATGATTTCGTGGGGAGACTGATTAATTGATCACATCGCGGTATATTATTTTATTATACTTTTTAAAATGATAACGGTTTTAAATTTAAATTGATCACTTTTGATTTTCAGAATGGCTTTTAAAACTTTTTTCAAATTTTAATTTTGAAATTAGGTTTAAGGTAGAGTACCTAATGGTCCTAATGAAAATGTTTTTTGTCATTTTTAACTTAATAAAAATATTATGTTTTTATAGTAACATTTTGAAATGRTAATTAAAACTATCTTTTGTATAATTTATCAAATCAACCTGAAATTTTGTAGACGGAGGTATTTAATTATTAATTATTAATAATATGATTGTATGATTAATTGTTGTTTTGATTATTTAAACGAAGAGATTTGAAAAATTTTATAACGTTCAGCATATTATAACAAAATAAAATTAATGATTACCAATATGTATATGATATATTATATATAGATAGTATAAAACTACAAAATAATTTATATTATTTTTATATTTAATAGATATATCGGACCCACTGAATTTATAATATACCCACACACACAGTTAAGTTGTTACTTGTTAGTTGTTACTTCTTACTTATTACAAAACTGTGTATGTATGCCTATCAACTACATTAAAGCGCAGGGCACTTGTTTTGAAAGGATAAATAACAAAATAGATAATTACTAATTAGTTGTCAAAATCAAATCAAAAAATCTGAATAATATTTGTCCACTATGTTTTTGTTGTTTAAAATCATAATAATAGGTAGGTTAATATTTAGCATTATATTTCATGAAGACATGTTGTCTATGTAATATATCAGTGATGAGTGATATAGGTATGCCATATATTGTAGGTATTCGTATATTGTATATAATATATACACATTTTGTACGAGAAGAGGAATCATCACAACAAACGTTGTGTGGAAAAATAGGAGTGACGTCAAATTATTTAGATAGCTCTACAACAAAAAAAGATGAATATATTATGAATGAAAAAATAATTTCAGGTGTGAATCAAGCACCCCAATATTCTGCTATCGACTAATATGAACGTTTGATAGTGAATTATAGTCATATAGATCTATACTAAGATTAAGATATTGCAACTAAGTACCTACTCATCACAATAATTGGACAATAATTCAATTTTTTATATGTTACAAATACAAAATCATAAGAGTGCCTACCTACCTTAATTCACAATTTAAAACTAAATTTTTTCGTTAAGTTGATTTAAGTTTTTGACGTTCATAAAATATCCTATATTAGTATAGTACATATGTAAAAAACAAAATAGTGTGTGGACAATGAACCAATAAAGTATGTGGGTTTTCATCTATTGACCTTTTTGAAATAGAAATCGAAATCATAAGTGTGCGTGGTTTTGGATGCAATACTGTTTAAATTTGTTTGATAGTTTATTATTCGACGTTCCTATAGGAGTAAATTTTTAAAAAATAACCGGGAAAGTGGATGTCGCTCTGCTGTACAGTAGGTTACAAGTGGGTTACTGTAATGGGGAACGGTAAACTCCTGCAAATGTAGTGTAATAATCTCCTACAAAAGATAGTGTTAACTCCTACAAAAATATCAGTCTTGCAATATATTAACATAAAATAAAAATGGTTTGAAAAATATAATAAAAATGTTAATAAAACAATAATCATTATCATTTACGTTTAAAACAAAATTTTTAAAATATAATAAAAGTGTTAATAAAATAAGTCATAATCATTTAATCCTAAAACAAAATATTATGTTTGAAAAAATAATAAAAATGATAATAAGACTTTACTACTACAGTCATAAGTATTTAATCCTAAAACAAAAATTGTTTTAAAAATATAATAAAACAATAGTAATAATCACATACGTTTGAAATAAAAAAATTCTATGTAGGAGATTACAATATCTTTGATTTTCAGGTAAAAATTTTAAAAGGTTATTAGTGYAGGAGTTTACATTTGGCCACTGTAATGGATGGAATTAAATTTGAATTCAATGATATTATATCATTGTATACGAAAAACGATTCTGAGCGACGACGGTTTATCTGTCTAGGATATATTATAGATTATTAAAAATTTTCAAATCTTTAATTTAAAATAACATTTTTTTATGAATTTCTAGCATAAAATAATTTGAACATTGCCGTAATTTTTACGTATTTAGTCAAAATTTGAACTTTAAATGCTTATAAACAAAAATTGTGACTATTTATTTCTTTTGTTTTTCAACAGTTATTGTGAAAATATGTTAGGAGCCTTGTATTAAATTTTCAAGCTTTTCTACCTAACAAATACATTTTTATCGATATTTATAGAAAATAAA